CAGAACCACGCCAAAAAACTCCCTAACGTGTCGTCTGAAATCCTAGAAAAACAGCACATTGTCGAGAGATTGTCAAGAGATTCTGTTGCCTGCAGCTGCTCGCAGGACTGGTGGCGACGGTTGCTGCTGCTGATGCCGGTAAAACAGCTTCGAAAAAAGCAGCCCCCGGCAGCAAAACACCATAGCTCTGAAGGACGAGCAAGGTCGAAAGATTCTGTTACCTGCGGCTGCTCGCAGAACTGGTGGCGGCGGCTGCTGCTGCTGATGCCGGTAAAACAGCTTCGAACAAAGCAGCTCCCGGCAGCAAAACACCATGGCTCGGAAGGACGAGCAAGGTCCAAAACCACGCGAAAAAACTCCCTAACGTGTCGTCTGGAAATCTAGAAAAATCTAGAAAAACAGCATTTGTCGAGAGATTCTGTTGCCTGCGGCTGCTGCTGCTGATGCCGGGAAAACAGCTTCGAAAAAAGCAGCCCCCGGCAGCAAAACACCATGGCTCTGAAGGACGAGCAAGGTCGAAAGATTCTGTTGCCTGCGTTGCCTGCGGCTGCTCGCAGAACTGGTGGCGGCAGCTGCTGCTGCTGATGCCGGTAAAACAGCTTCGAAAAAAGCAGCTCCCGGCAGCAAAATACCATGGCTCGGAAGGACGAGCAAGGTCCAAAACCACGCGAAAAAACTCCCTAACGTGTCGTCTGGAAATCTAGAAAAACAGCATTTGTCGACAGATTCTGTTGCCTGCGGCTGCTCGCAGAACTGGTGGCGGCGGCTGCTGCTGCTGATGCCAGTAAAACAGCTTCGAAAAAAGCAGCTCCCGGCAGCAAAACACCATGGCTTGGAAGGACGAGCAAGGTCCAAAACCACGCGAAAAAACTCCCTAACGTGTCGTCTGGAAATCTAGAAAAATCTTGAAAAACAGCATTTGTCGACAGATTCTGTTGCCTGCGGCTGCTCGCAGAACTGGTGGCGGCGGCTGCTGCTGCTGATGTCGTTTGAAATCCTGGAAAAACAGCTTTTTTCGAGAGAGTCTGTCGCCTGCAGCTGCTCGCAGGTGGCGGCTGCTGCTGCTGATGCCGGTACAATAGCTTCGAAAAAAGCAGCTCCCGGCAGCAAAACACCATGGCTCCGAAGGACGAGCAAGTTCCAGAACCACGCCAAAAAACCTCCCAAACGTGTCGTCTGAAATGCTAGAAAAAATGTGCTAGAAAAACAGCAAAAAAACAGCATAGAAACAGCATAGAAAAACAGCATTTGTCGATTGTCGAGAGATTCTGTCGCCTACGGCTGCTCGCACGACTGGTGGCGGCGGCTGCTGCTGATGCCAGTAAACCAGCTTCGAAAAAAGCAGCTCCCGGCAGCAAAACACCATGGCTCTGAAGGACGAGCAAGGTCCAGAACCACGCCAAAAAACTCCCTAACGTGTCGTCTGGAAATCTAGAAAAACAGCATTTGTCGACAGATTCTGTTGCCTGCGGCTGCTCGCAGAACTGGTGGCGGCGGCTGCTGCTGCTGATGCCGGTAAAACAGCTTCGAAAAAAGCAGCTCCCGGCAGCAAAACACCATGGCTCTGAAGGACGAGCAAGGTCCAGAACCACGCCAAAAAACTCCCTGACGTGTCGTCTGAAATGCTAGAAAAACAGCACATTGTCGAGAGATTGTCAAGAGATTCTGTTGCCTGCGGCTGCTCGCAGGACTGGTGGCGACGGTTGCTGCTGCTGATGCCGGTAAAACAGCTTCGAAAAAAGCAGCTCCCGGCAGCAAAACACCATAGCTCTGAAGGACGAGCAAGGTCGAAAGATTCTGTTACCTGCGGCTGCTCGCAGAACTGGTGGCGGCGGCTGCTGCTGCTGATGCCGGTAAAACAGCTTCGAAAAAAGCAGCTCCCGGCAGCAAAACACCATGGCTCGGAAGGACGAACAAGGTCCAAAACCACGCGAAAAAACTCCCTAACGTGTCGTCTGGAAATCTAGAAAAATCTAGAAAAACAGCATTTGTCGAGAGATTCTGTTGCCTGCGGCTGCTGCTGCTGATGCCGGTAAAACAGCTTCGAAAAAAGCAGCCCCCGGCAGCAAAACACCATGGCTCTAAAGGACGAGCAAGGTCGAAAGATTCTGTTGCCTGCGGCTGCTCGCAGAACTGGTGGCGGCGGCTGCTGCTGCTGATGCCGGTAAAACAGCTTCGAAAAAAGCAGCTCCCGGCAGCAAAACACCATGGCTCGGAAGGACGAGCAAGATCCAAAACCACGCGAAAAAAAACTCCCTAACGTGTCGTCTGGAAATCTAGAAAAACAGCATTTGTCGACAGATTCTGTTGCCTGCGGCTGCTCGCAGAACTGGTGGCGGCGGCTGCTGCTGCTGATGCCGGTAAAACAGCTTCGAAAAAAGCAGCTCCCGGCAGCAAAACACCATGGCTCTGAAGGACGAGCAAGGTCCAGAACCACGCCAAAAAACTCCCTAACGTGTCGTCTGAAATCCTAGAAAAACAGCACATTGTCGAGAGATTGTCAAGAGATTCTGTTGCCTGCGGCTGCTCGCAGGACTGGTGGCGGCGGTTGCTGCTGCTGATGCCGGTAAAACAGCTTCGAAAAAAGCAGCCCCCGGCAGCAAAACACCATAGCTCTGAAGGACGAGCAAGGTCGAAAGATTCTGTTACCTGCGGCTGCTCGCAGAACTGGTGGCGGCGGCTGCTGCTGCTGATGCCGGTAAAACAGCTTCGAAAAAAGCAGCTCCCGGCAGCAAAACGCCATGGCTCGGAAGGACGAGCAAGGTCCAAAACCACGCGAAAAAACTCCCTAACGTGTCGTCTGGAAATCTAGAAAAATCTAGAAAAACAGCATTTGTCGAGAGATTCTGTTGCCTGCGGCTGCTGCTGCTGATGCCGGTAAAACAGCTTCGAAAAAAGCAGCCCCGGCAGCAAAACACCATGGCTCTGAAGGACGAGCAAGGTCGAAAGATTCTGTTGCCTGCGGCTGCTCGCAGAACTGGTGGCGGCGGCTGCTGCTGCTGATGCCGGTAAAACAGCTTCGAAAAAAGCAGCTCCCGGCAGCAAAACACCATGGCTCGGAAGGACGAGCAAGGTCCAAAACCACGCGAAAAAACTCCCTAATGTGCCGTCTGGAAATCTGGAAAAACAGCATTTGTCGACAGATTCTGTTGCCTGCGGCTGCTCGCAGAACTGGTGGCGGCGGCTGCTGCTGCTGATGCCGGTAAAACAGCTTCGAAAAAAGCAGCTCCCGGCAGCAAAACACCATGGCTCGGAAGGACGAGCAAGATCCAAAACCACGCGAAAAAAAACTCCCTAACGTGTCGTCTGGAAATCTAGAAAAACAGCATTTGTCGACAGATTCTGTTGCCTGCGGCTGCTCGCAGAACTGGTGGCGGCGGCTGCTGCTGCTGATGCCGGTAAAACAGCTTCGAAAAAAGCAGCTCCCGGCAGCAAAACACCATGGCTCTGAAGGACGAGCAAGGTCCAGAACCACGCCAAAAAACTCCCTAACGTGTCGTCTGAAATCCTAGTCGCGGCACCACTTTTCTAGCTTTATTTCCCGGCGGCCCTCTAGAAAGGAGGATGGAACGCAGACATGCAACACATGCCACGCTGCGAAGGTGCAGCGTGCAGTCCGCAAGCGCGCAGCTGCTTCCAGTGCAGCTCGCCTCGAACCTCTCCGGAAAAGATTGCGCCACAGGCAAATTATCCAGGAGACATGGGAAGCAATGGCTCGGAAACGTAGTCGCACCACGATTCCTGTTGAAAAATGCGTTGAAAATACAGCAGGGCCCACTATCTCGCAGAGAAAGCCGGTCTATGAATATATATGTCCTCATTGTGAGACACAGGTCCGTAGTACTGTCACTGATGGACAAGTTGATGCGAAACAACAGCATTGTGGTGTCCGCTTCCGTGTTCGCGGTGGCACAGTGATTCAGAGCTTTTTCACACATCAGTGTCCAGCATGTTTAACAGAAGTGCAAAGCACGAAACGCTTTGGCCGCATACGGGTAGCGCACAAAAAACGAAACGGGAAAAGATGTGGAACAAAATGTTGGCAAGTAGTATGCTCCGGTACCAAAGACACGACTTGATCTAAGAAAATTGCAGCCTAACCCTGAAGCTTATGGACTATCGAGAGCACAGCAGAGGTGGCACATGGTTGTTGTTGTCGCTCCCCCTTGCATCGGCCGGGGTCAGCGAATTATTATTATTCTTTCCTGGCAGCTGTGTCATAAACTCTTTTTCCCTTACGCACTCCCCCTTGCGTCTGCCGGGGTCGGCGGATACCACTGTTTGTACAATGAGACATAGAACCTCGAGGATGCGGCCTCGAACGAACAAATCAGAGCGGGAAGGGCAACCCAAGGAGCCCCACGTACCTCGAGGAGACTCCGGGAAGGCCCCCCCACCGGTAAAACAAAAACCCCGGAGTCAATGAATCGACGTACGTGACCGGTGGGAGGGGGACCCAACAGGGTCCCCCGGCAAAGGGTCATTGTTGTTGTTGTTGTTGTTGTTCTTGTTGTTGTTGTTGTTGTTGTTGTCGTTGTTGTTGTTGTTGTTGTGGTTGTTGTGCTGCTGCTGCTGCTGCTGTTTCTATCTACTGTAGCTGCAGTAGTATAGTAGTAGTCGCAATGTCTTATTCCCTGGCGCGCTCCCCCTTGCGTCTGCCGGGGTCGGCGGATACAGTATTCTCAGTATTCTTTGTTTGGGATGACGACTGACCCACCCCCAAGAAGCGTCCGCCCTCGGCGTCCCGTTTTTTTCCGCAGGTCGGAAAGTACACCTTCTCCGCCGAGGCGGTCGGGGATGACGCCAAGGTGGGACCTGGGATGGGATCCATGGTGAACACCACCGGACAGATGGTGCTGGACCCATGAAATAAGGAAATCAACTGCATCCAATGGCGGGATTAGAATTCAGTTATACACTTTATGCATATCAATCTATAAACTTTAAAACTTAATTTTCAAAGTTCCAGTTCAACGAGGTCATAGAACGCCGAGTTGCAGGATGCAGCCACTGAGTTTGAGTTTGTGGCCATGGCCACTGAGAACGAATCTGTGGTTTCCTTCTCAGTTTCTCAATTGCTGGATATTGCTGACATCCAACTAGTGTAATTTGTGCAACTAGTGTTCCAGATGCAGCAGCCCAGGTCCGTTGTTTTCCAGCCACAGGACGAACTCATCAGATCAGTTGGAAGCTCAGCTTGGGACCATCGACCCATCCTGGACTCATCCCAGCTGGAAAAACCGAGGAGTCCACCTCCTCCACTTGGGATTTCCCATCGCAAATGACAGTTGCTATGGGGGTGAGCTGCGCCAGGTTGTGGACCTAGGATGATCTCTTCCGAATCTAAGAATCTAAGATTATACTAGTACGATCTATATCTATATATATCTATATCTACATCTACATCTATATCTACATCTACATCTATATCTGTATATGTCTATACATACACATGTATACAGTACACACGAATTCTTTACTAGCCGGCGATCATCTGGGTTGGACATCGTCCTGAGAGAAGCTCAGGATTGCACCCTGCCGCTGATTCCTCACGTTCGACAAGAGGCTTGATGGATAGGAGAGAACTGCAAGCATGCAGCACATATTCCCACATTGTTTGTAAATTTCCTGCAACAACTCAGAAACGTATCACGGGGACCTATCATGTCCATTCATGTCCATCCTTGCAATCACTGGGAGGCCCATCTGGATAAAGGTCAGTCTGCGGAACCAGAGGCTTCTTTGACTTAAGACATGCGCCTGCAGCATGAGGAAGCATGACGAAGCATGCCCATGGTGCCATGGTGCAAACATAGTGACTAAGGAAGCGGCCACGATGCATCCCAGTGGCTTGGTCATCGAATGAGAGATGAACGAAACAGCCTCCGAGGCTTAGCGGATCTTAGCGGCTAAACCTGAATTAGCTGCCTTCAGCATTGCTGAGCCCAGCCGCTGGCCGAGGTGGCATCTTTCTTCATGCCCTGACCTATGCTCTGCCGGACGGCAGCTCTTTCACGTCCAAGGCCCTGGAAATGTCGGGTGCCTAGTTTGGTGGAAGCAGTTCCTGTGACAGGCTCCGACCTGGGCCTTGGTGAGTAGCGTTGAATCGCTGGTGTCACCCTCGTAGTTTCAGTAGACGACAGCATAGACATCTTGGAGAAAAAGACAGCTGCAGAAGTGCCAGATCCTAAATTTACCTACGCACAATAATTCACTATGGCTCTGTGTGCCACCAAGTAGATAGATTTAAAGTGGGACAATGATCCACAGCTGGATATATAGCATTTGTCATTCTGCTACCCTTGGCAGCAAAGAACGAGTCATTGTGCACCAAATTCGAAGTATCACAATCATTTTTTCGGTACCGAAACGGTGTATACTTCTGAGATTTTTGGGTATTACATATTTCTGGAGCCAAGCCGGTGCGTTTTTGCTCACTTGCTTTCCTGCGGATCTCTCGTTGGCTCCGAGCTAAGATTTGGAATCATGAATCAACCATAGGAGCCAGGAGCTGGTCCTGCTTTGCATCCGTCGTTTTGCAACTAAGCACACGAAGCACATGCATTTTAAAGTTTTGTGACACCCCAAACATGGGCGGGGCGGCGTTCGATTAAATTGATTAGCAAGCTGTACTCTTTTGGCGTAATCAAGCCATGAGTGTTTTTTCTTTAATAAATAACTGGCAGCTGGCAGCTGTACTTTGGTTTGTTCCTAGTTGTACCGGCTCTTCCAAATTAAGACTTGATTCCATGGCGTGCCACCTCCAAGCAGCGGTTCACACTGCCTTCATGCCGCGTGACAGCTGCAGTCAGCAAGACCTTTTGCTGCGACATTTTGGAGGGAGCCTTTGCATTCGCTTATGGTCTCAGTCCGGAGAATTTCAGGCGCAGTATATGATTGGATGTAATTGAGAAGTGTTCAACCCCTCTTTCGGATGATCATTATAAAGGTTATACTACCCAAATCTACCCATTTTGTTACTCAACATATTGTGGTCACAATCCATGTGTGAAAGTTGGGGCTCAGCAGGTTATGCTGCACGATCTGCTATGCAGTGGAGACCGACCTTGACCGACCTTGACCAGCCACCAGCCACCAGTGCGACACCAAGATGGCCATGGCTGCCATGGCAGCTGTGCACCTGCAGCCGCCTGTGGCCAAGACAGCAAGTTGTGTAAGGCGAAGCAAAGGCAGCTAAGGCCGTGGTATCGGCTGGAACACTCAGGAGACCACGATAATTGAGTGACTGATGACAGTCAACAAGCTCAACTGAAGCAACTAACTTGCTCCATGTTAATGTTGATGACATGATGCCAGTTTTCAACACCGGCAATTTGAATGAAGGACTCTGAACGATCGATGCGGAGAAGCTTTGATGCCTCAGAATGGAGGGGAGCACTTGACCTTTTCGAGGCCAGGCAAATCTCACTTGATTTTGAGGGTTTGATAGTTGCTGATCAAAATGATGGGAGGGAACTGGAAAAGCTGCAGATATTGACCTTCTTGAACTCGCGTCCTCACTCTCTTGCTCCAGTAGATGATTTAAAAGCCCAACTGCTGGAAGGCGAATGCAGCGCTGGCTGTGCGGAAGGACCGCAAAAGACAGGTTGCAGAAATTCCTTCCAGAGAGATCCGCAGAGATAAAGGAAGAGAAACTCAGGTTCAAGAGACAGAGTTTGAGTAATCCCAAAGTTGATACATGTTCATCTCGTGTCAGTTTTTCACCTGGGTCAAAATGAGGTACCCCAAAGTACCCCAAAAGTGGGGTGGATCATGGTGGATCATGGTGGATCAATGCAAGAAATGGACCTTCCATCAGTGATTCCTTGGACCTTCCATCTTCGTCACAGGATGCCCGCGATTTTGGTCAGGCATCGGCCTTGGTGAAGATAGTGCTGTGAGTGCCCAGGATGTGTCAACACTATGGATTTATTCTGTTTGAGATCCCCCCAAAAGATCCAAAAGGGATGTTGATTTTATGCTATTTTCATATGTTTCAACACGTTTCAATGACTAAAAAGATCTAAAAGTGACAAATTCTGTAGGTACATTGGTACCCCCAATAACTTCTGAAGCCGCGGATCAAGGCGATCACCAAGTGCCACTGGGAGATAGCCAGCACCTTGCTGCGAGAGATGGAGGCGAAATTGCACATTTTCGGAGTCGAAAGTGGAGCATCATGTGGATATTATGATGGGGATGTAGTGACTATAGTGGGGATATACCGATATTAAGGTGAATATTTACAGGTAAACTAGTGGTCGTAATTATGAAACACCATGGGGGAATTGAGGGTACCCCATGTGTTCAGAATCCATAGCCATATGCTGCCAGGCCCATGACGTCCAGCAGAATGTGATCATCTTTGGAAGCTTAGTGAACGTTTACAAGGAGGTCTGCCCGAATGGGTTGCAATCTTTGTTAGTGTTGGCTCATGTTGGCTCCATTGTCGCGCCAGGTGTCCATGTGGTCTTGCTCACTTCAGGCCATTGCTATTTTCAGAATTGAGAAGTGGGTTGATCTGAAAAGAACGAGTGCACCCAAATCCAGTCGTTGATGATCCCCAAAGACCCAAAGATCATTTTCCCCATAAAAACCCTGTTGTTTGGGGCAGACCCGAGTGCCGTGTATTGCTCCGCAGGCGCTGCAAAGGAGCTTGGATGTCGGATTGCAGGGTAGTGTCATCTCCATCAACGCACTGGTCTCATGTTCGAGAAGAACGAGAGAGAGAGAGAGAGACCTGGTTCACGTTTATGATGGATGAAATGGTTCTGTCCCGAAATTGGAGACTCTTAAACGCCCTAAACTCCCTTTTTTCCCCTCAATGCCTCAATGATGTGTTGATCAATACACGCTCAACGGTGGGTAG